GTTTTTAAAACTGCTTCACTGTTCGCTGTGTTCTTGTTGTCATCAGTAACATGCTGGGAGTTCACAGAGTGCAGCGACGCTAACTTTGAAACTCAGGATGATGTAATTCTTCCGTTTCCTGTTTATGATTTGAATCTTTAACCAAACCAAAAATAGAATTGTACAGAGGCGGTGTTAAACTCTCATTGCCTTTACTGACTATTTTTAAAACATCTCGAAACCTTTTTATATAGCAAGGCTTAGGTTTTCACTGGTTTTATTGTATTTTTATTTCCTGTAGGTCTTTTGCTTTAATTATATATATATATATATATATATATATATATATATATATATATATATATATATATATATATATATATTTATATTAGGTATTTGAATTTAGGTTTATTGTTTGCAGCAGGGGCTGAACAGTGATGCAGTGAGTAGCACTGCCGCCTTTCAGCAAGAAGGTTTTCAGTTCGATTCCCTCCCTACGTTACTTTGAAAAAGTAATTAGTTATAGTTACTAGTTACGTCTCCCAAAAAGTAACTGAGTTACTAGCTGAGTTACTCCACAATAAAAGTAACTAGTTACTAGTAAAAGTAACTATTGCGTTACTTTTGCGTTTCTCGCCCCCGTAACCCTCACCACCCAGCCCCCACCTTCTCGCCGTGTGTTTCCAAAGCCAGCTGAATAGAGCGGACGACAAAGACAAGAACCTGCAGAGAGTTTAGCATTTATTGCAACTCAACGTAAATGACATCAGGGGGGGAACGCCATGTGAAGTTTTTTAACAGGGCATTCAGATCTGGTGAGTATATGAAATTAATAACTGGGGATGTCTAATTCTGAAATCCTGTGTGTTTGGGTTGTTATAGATGCTGCAACATCTATCTATCTATCTATCTAGATCTATACTCTGTGTGTGACATGAAATATGGATCTCCATCCCTGCCACAAAGGCCATCAAATAATGTTTAAAATAAAAAATACAGTAGGTTGAAAAGGCAGAGTATCCATCCATCCATCCATCCATCCATCCATCCATCCATCCATCCATCCATCCATCTTTCTCTCTTTCTCCATATAGGCTATCATTTGATCGTTCACGCTCTCCATAGTTCTCCTGTGGCGCGAGCACAGGGCGACTGTTACACGCCTTTAGCGAGCATGCGCGTTTCCTGTCGCTTGCGCGGTGAATCGTGCCGCCTGCGCTGTGTGGAGATGCAGGGGAAACCGTATCTGATTTCAACGTAACACCGGTATTTCCATGTGGAAAACGCTGTTTTGCTGCAGGAGTCCTCCTCACTCTCCATCTCTCTGTGTGTGCTGTACGTTAACACCCGCCAGCAGAAACACCCACCTACCCAACTGACAGACGGAATCTCACTATACATCAGCCAATCTCCTCCTCCCCTCTCTCATGACAAGGCGCGCACGAGTCCTATCATGAAAAAAGGTTCATTGTGCGACCTGAGTAACGCGCAGTAACGGGGTGTCTGCAATGGTAACTGCGCTATAGTTACAGTCAAAGTAATTAGTTAGATTACTCGTTACTTTCAACGCCGTTAGTCCCATCACTGCTGCCCGAGGTCTTTCTGCATGGAGTTTACTTGTTCTCCCTGAGCATGCATGGGTTCTCTCCGGGTACTCCGGCTTCCTCTTAGAGTCCAAAAAATTCACTGTTAGGTTAATTAGCTTCTCTAAATTCTCCTTAGGTGTGAATGGTTGTTTGTCTCTGTGTGGCCCTGCGATGGACTGGAGACCTGTCCAGGGTGGACCCCGCATCTCACCTGTAGACAGCTGTAGATGGGCACCAGCACCCCTCTCTACCCCAGCAGGAATAAGCGTGATGGAAAATGGATTTATGTTTCCAGCAGCACTTTGTTTCAACCTTATGAAGACAGTTTGTATGATATTGATGTTTGCAGCTGAGCCAGATGCAGTTTAATCTGCTGGTTACCCTCAAATTGTCTATTTCCCAGGGTTTAGTTTTTGACAGCATGTCTTTCTCTTTAGAGATTCTGATCTTAACAATAGCGCCACCTATTGCAGCCTCCTTCCCATTGCCCCCCTCCCTCCCAAAAAAAACACAAAGTCAACGATATGCAAATGAATTACGGGCCCAAGAAGATAATGCATTCCTTAAACTTTATTCTATTAATGTGATTGTGTTTTTTTCCATTTTTATTTTATTTCATGTTATATTATGTTTATCAACCATCAGTTAAAAATCAAATGGAGGGAAATAAATCCATAGATATGAGAAAATCGACCTTCTATTTAGTTATTTTTATATTTTTATCTGCACATAACAATATGGAACAGACAGACCTGAAATTCAGACCCTGAAATTCTCTTTATGGAGGAATTATTTCAGTGCATTTTTGTCAAAGTTCAATAAATTAAAAGTTTTGCTTAACATAAAGTGTCTTAAGTGTCTTGGTTTTTGGTATTATTGGATTTACTTTAGGTTGCAGTTTATCTGACACTTTTTAGAATCTGAAATAATCCTGCAGACTTTTTTTTTTTTTTTTCATGGTTTCCATTGGCACAGTCTGGGAAACAGAGCAGACGGCCGTGCATCACAAGGATATCAGACAAAGCGAAATGGAAGAGGGAGTGTTCAAAACGAAAACCAAGAGCCCGGGGCCTAAAGAAGACCATCTGCTCACCGATTAATGAGGAATTCTTTGAAAATCTGTGCTATTTTGGTCACTACACTCGGAAGGTTTGGATTAATTTAACGTTGAGATGAAGTGGATGTAAAGGCAGGTTTGGTTTTCTAGCGGAAGGCCAGAATGCATGTGGGATTGTTAGCATCGCCACCAGTGATTATGATGAAATTACTTCAGGAAATGGGCTGAGAACATTGTTTTATTTTGAGACTTTGAGCACCACTTCAAAGAGGTGGACTAAAAAATGAGCTCAGTGCTTCCTTATTGAAGCCCAAACTGGAAACGCGTCCACCAATCCCTGATCACACTGACTTTATGACTTTACTGACTTTATAAAGGTAAAGATTGTGACTTTCAACATTTTTACACTGCAAAAACAAGGCAAATGAGTAAAAATGACTTAAATGAATTTATTTACCTACCTAAATTAATTAAGTTATTTACCTACTCAAACGAAGTAGGTAAATAAGATGATTTACACGAGTACTAAGAGATTGAAGTTTTTGGGAAGTGACGTTTTTTTGTTTCCGCTCAGCCTATTGACGCCTTGCGGGCATTTAGAAACAGGGAAATTGGCCTTTTATAAAGTCTAAAATATTTTTGACGACCAACCTTTTCCATTTTTTATTTTAATGATAGTAATAATAATAATAATACATTTAATTTCAAAGGTGCCTTTCTGGACACTCTTGGTCACCATACAGAAAATAAAAACACAATGGCAGAAACAAAGTCAAAACTACGGAAGAGGATTAGGGCCACTGGAAAAAAAAAAGTTAACTGATTTTTTTATTTTATTTCAGGGAAAAAAGTCAGAATTCCGACTTTTTTCTCAGAATTCCGACTTTTTTCTCAAAATTCTGACTTTAATCTCGGAATTCTGACTTTTTTCTCAGAATTCTGACTTTAATCTCGGGATTCTGACTTTTTTCTCAAAATTCTGACCCTAATCTCGGAATTCTGACTTTTTTCTCAGAATTCTGACTTTAATCTCGGAATTCTGACTTTTTTCTCAGAATTCCGACTTTTTTCTCAAAATTCTGACTTTTTTCTCGGAATTCCGACTTTTTTCTCAAAATTCTGACTTTAATCTCGGAATTCTGACTTTTTTTCTCAGAATTCTGACTTTAATCTCGGAATTCTGACTTTTTTCTCAAAATTCTGACTTTAATCTCGGAATTCTGACTTTTTTCTCAGAATTCTGACTTTAATCTCGGGATTCTGACTTTTTTCTCAAAATTCTGACCCTAATCTCGGAATTCTGACTTTTTTCTCAGAATTCTGACTTTAATCTCGGAATTCTGACTTTTTTCTCAGAATTCCGACTTTTTTCTCAAAATTCTGACTTTTTTCTCGGAATTCCGACTTTTTTCTCAAAATTCTGACTTTAATCTCGGAATTCTGACTTTTTTTCTCAGAATTCTGACTTTAATCTCGGAATTCTGACTTTTTTCTCAAAATTCTGACCCTAATCTCGGAATTCTGACTTTTTTCTCAGAATTCTGACTTTAATCTCGGAATTCTGACTTTTTTCTCAGAATTCCGACTTTTTTCTCAAAATTCTGACTTTTTTCTCGGAATTCCGACTTTTTTCTCAAAATTCTGACTTTAATCTCGGAATTCTGACTTTTTTCTCAGAATTCTGACTTTAATCTCGGAATTCTTACTTTTTTCTCAGAATTCTGACTTTTTTCTCAGAATTCCGACTTTTTTCTCAAAATTCTGACTTTAATCTCAGAAATTTGACTTTTTTCTCAGAATTCTGACTTTAATCTCGGAATTCCGACTTTTTTCTCAGAATTCTGACTTTTTTCTCAGAATTCCGACTTTTTTCTCAAAATTCTGACTTTAATCTCAGAAATCTGACTTTTTTCTCAAAATTCTGACTTTAATCTCAGAAATCTGACTTTTTTCTCAGAATTCTGACTTTAATCTCGGAGTTCTGACTTTAACTGAAATAAAATTAAAAAATCAGTTAATTTTTTTTTTTTCCCAGTGGCCCTAATCCTCTTCCGTACAAAACACAGAATAAAAACCATTTAAAAAATATCAAGGCTGGGACAGGGAGTCCAAAAACCTTTTAAAATCCAAATCAGGCATACATGCTGCATCTGTAGGAATATCCAGAGGAATTGCTCGGCTCTGCAAGCAATGGATGCCTGTGATGCTTAGATAATAAACTTACATAATCGTTTCACACATAAAGCAATATTTTATCTGAGGAAAAAAACAAAGAAATATTAACATGAGCGGAAACGGGCGGTTCCCTGAATCCCTCAGTGGCTCCCTAACCACCTGTGCACCTTTGAATCATTTTCTCCTCTTCTCTCCCTTTACAGTCTCTCATTTTCCTGGGCTGCGTGGCGGCAGCAGGACTCGGACTCAACCTCCTATGTTTGGCCGTCTACCTGAGCTGCCTGTGCTTCTGTCGCAAAGACGAAGACGAGGAAAGCAAGAAGCCAAACTCCTGCTGCGTCACCTGGTCGGCTGTGGCTGCAGGGCTCATTACATGGTGAGAGGATCAGAAAGAACAAAAAAAAAAAACACTTTGGCCGACTGTATTACTGCGCCTGCATATCTATGTTAATAAGGGTGGCCAGGCAATAACCAATGTGCACTGAGGGGTGGCCGAAAGCGGATACCAGAAAGTCCGGGTCAATCTACAATGTCCCAAAAAGAAAAATGAACAACCACAACATCTATATTTTATATATAAATAAAATCTATACTTTCCTGCACTGGAAATAATCGAAATCTACACTCACTGGCCACTTTATTAGGTACCCCATGCTCGTAACGGGTTGGACCCCCTTTTGCCTTCAGAACTGCCTCAATTCTTGGTGGCATAGATTCAACAAGGTGCTGGAAGCATTCCTCAGGGAGTTTGGTCCATATTGACATGATGGCATCACACAGTTGCCGCAGATTTGTCGGCTGCACATCCATGATGCGAATCTCCCGTTCCACCACATCCCAAAGATGCTCTATTGGATTGAGATCTGGTGACTGTGGAGGCCATTTGAGTACAGTGAACTCATTGTCATGTTCAAGAAACCAGTCTGAGATGATTCCAGCTTTATGACATGGCGCATTATCCTGCTGAAAGTAGCCATCAGAAGTTGGGTACATTGTGGTCATAAAGGGATGGACATGGTCAGCAACAATACTCAGGTAGGCTGTGGCGTTGCAACGATGCTCAATTGGTACCAAGGGGCCCAAAGAGTGCCAAGAAAATATTCCCCACACCATGACACCACCACCACCAGCCTGAACCGTTTATACAAGGCAGGATGGATCCATGCTTTCATGTTGTAGACGCCAAATTCTGACCCTACCATCCGAATGTCGCAGCAGAAATCGAGACTCATCAGACCAGGCAACGTTTTTCCAATCTTCTATTGTCCCATTTCGATGAGCTTGTGCAAATTCTAGCCTCAGTTTCCTGTTCTTAGCTGAAAGGAGTGGCACCCGGTGTGGTCTTCTGCTGCTGTAGCCCATCTGCCTCAAAGTTGGACGTACTGTGCGTTCAGAGATGCTCTTCTGCCCACCTTGGTTGTAACGGGTGGTTATTTGAGTCACTGTTGCCCTTCTATCAGCTCCAACCAGTCTGGCCATTCTCCTCTGACCTCTGGCATCAACAAGGCATTTCCGCCCACAGAACAGCCGCTCACTGGATGTTTTTCTTTTTCGGACCATTCTCTGTAAACCCTAGAGATGGTTGTGCGTGAAAATCCCAGTAGATCAGCAGTTTCTGAAATACTCAGACCAGCCCTTCTGGCACCAACAATCATGCCACGTTCAAAGTCACTCAAATCACCTTTCTTCCCCATACTGATGCTCGCTTTGAACTGCAGGAGATTGTCTTGACCATGTCTACATGCCTAAATGCACTGAGTTGCTGCCATGTGATTGGCTGCTTAGAAATTAAGTGTTAACGAGCAGTTGGACAGGTGTACCTAATAAAGTGGGCGGTGAGTGTAGATAAGTCATCTTTTCTTTAAATGAGTGCATTTGTTCTTGGATATAGGAGGTAAAAGAGACATTTTGCCAATGGAACAAGACAATTTAGACTTAGAATAAGAAAGCAAAATTGCATTGTCTTATTTCAAGTGCATATTATCTAATTATCTAATTTTAAGAGTAAAATTACTCATTCCATTGGCCAACTATGACATTTACCTACTTAAATTCAGGAGAAATACACTTAAGTTAAGACATTTTTACTTATTTCTAGATCGTTTTTTCAGTGTGCAGCCTTTTCTCACAAATAGACGCATATATTTAAACTAGGGATGTCCGGATCTCGAGATCGGATCGGCCCGATCTTTTCCTATTTTCCCGTGATCGGAGATCGGCTACATTACCTGACTAGTCGGCAACTGCCGTAAAGTACCCGCTAGTTACGGTTGACGGTAGTTGTGCAAAGCAATCATGTCAGAGTGTGGAAGCATTTTACTGTCGCCAGTGAAGACTGTCCTAAAGCTACTTGCAATGTCTGCAACATGGCAATTTCAAGAGGACATAGCCGCAGAGCTACATTTAACACCATGAACTTGATTCGTCATTTGAGGACAAAACATGACAATGTGTATGAATTGTTTTGTAAAGCTGCAGAAGGAAAAGTTAATAAAGCAAAGCATCAAACGCTGGACGTTATGAGGAGAGACAAATACTCCGACGGAAATATTAGAGCAAAGAAGATCACAGAAAGGTTGGTCGAATTTATTGCTAGTGACAACTTGACTAATTAAGATATGTGAGTGAGGCATAACTGGAAAGAGCATTGTGGTTATTATAACTAAGTATTCATGTTTGGTTGTTTAGTTGTTTTTAGAGCTACGTACGTGTTTGTTCATGACTCAAGAACGATCTTAATGATTTTAATGTTTCAGTGATCCTGCTACTTTTAAGTTGCACTCCTAAAGTTTTGAATTCATTTGATTTAATTCTGTTTACTTACTTTTTAAGTTGGATTGACATGTTTCAAATTCATTTACTGAATTGTGACTATTTGTCAATCTGTCAACGCCACATTTAAGATGAGCGAGGGCATTTTAAATTTGCTCATTGGTCAGTGCACTTTATTTTTATTGACTTTATGGCAGCCTATATTAATCACTTATAAGCTAAAGGTGGATCTTGGATAGCAATTTCTATTTGATGATACTGTAATTCTGGGTAAGATCTTTAATTCATTGCATTTAAAATAATAATAGTAATGCTTTTTGAGCAAATATTAGTCTAATAAAAAGTTGAGTTACTTGCTCAAAATATATTTGAGTTTTATCAATTTCACTACTAAAGAGAAAATATCGGATCGGATTTGAGGTTAAAAGATCGGATAAGGATTGGAGGCCTAAAATGCTGATCGGGACATCCCTAATTTAAACATCCGTGTCTAAATTAAAGGCGTAGAGGACAAAATTCTTTCAAGTTTGAGTCCTGGGCCGAACATCTTAATCATTACCTACTTTTTTCAATAATCGTTCTGCAAAAAAAACATATTTAAATCTATATATATCTCATTAAATTGATTACTTATTATTAAAGTCTGTTATTTATCTCTGATTTCACTGAAGACTCCTAAAGGATTTCCAAAGACATCATTTTCTGAAAAGAGCATCAATTCTGTATCTTTTTATGTTAGTATATAGATGTGAATAATTAATAAAAGTGTTTTTGTTGTCAAATAACTGTTAATATATGGAAAATTAAAATGTTGAATAAGTTAGAACATTCCACTTAAAAGTAGTACTGCTTCCACCGTCTGAATTAAAGGGAAACAATTGTAGGTGGGGGGCAAAGGATTGATTAAGGGTGGCCATGGCCCCCCATCTAGCTCCGCCCCTGCTGTAATGTTTGTCTTTGACTTTGTTTGGACTTAACTCAGGTTTTTATTAATTTCTTCTTTCTAATTCTCCTCATTTCCCTTCAGTTTCTTTATTTTGGTACTTTTCCATCAACCGTTTTTATTTTAAATTTTCCAAATACTGAAAAAGTGGCTCTACAATCAGACAGTCGGCCTCCATTTTTCTTTTGATGAACTCAGTCTTTGATCTGCCTCTACTGTAGAAATTCTCTTTGAACTGTTAGAAATGGTGGATATCATTGCTCTGATGAGCTTTAGTCTTTGAATATCTTTATAGGATTTGGTTTTTAAAAGGTCACACAGAAAGAAAAAAAAAAAAAAAGGATTTGCGTTTCATGTCATTAACAAACCAACCGGCTCTAATGTTTGGGCCTCAGATTTGTCCCGGTCATCTTTCTTTCACATCTGAGTTTTAAAGTTATAGAGAAATGTTTTCTGTTCGCTTAGCGGAGATATGGATGTTTGATTGTGTTTTCCATGCAGAGAGAGAATAATCGACTATAACGGTGCCGTTTATTTAAGCATCATGTGCAGAAATAAGCAGAGTTTTATGAGAGTAACACAGAAAAGGCAAAAGAAGCTGAATGGTTTCTATGTCAAGGTTTGATGGATGGTGATAATAGATTCTCTATCGGTCTCTTTATGATGCCTGTGAAATATTTCCCAGTTTAATGCTGGCATCCAGTAGAGACCTTGATTTATGCTGGTAGACAGACGGGGCATCCGCTTTTCTCCAGAGAAGAAAAATGCTTCTAATCCAGATTTAATTCACTATCTCTCTGTCTAAGAGCATAGTAAACTAATGTGGATCAGCAATCAATCACTGGAAAAAATGGAAATCTAAATAAGTCATTTTTTCTTAAAATAAGTGCATTTGTTCTTGGATTAAGGAGGTAAAAGCGACATTTTGCCAATGGAACAAGACAATTTACACTTAAAATAAGAAAAGACAATTACATTGTCTTATTTCAAGTGCATGTTATCTAATTATCTTATTTTAAAAGTAAAAATACTCATTCCATTGGCAAACTACCTAATTTACCTACTCAAATTAAGAGTAAATACACTTAATTTAAGAAATTTTTATTTATTTGTAGATTCTTTTTCCATCCATCCAGAAAAATATGGATATGCTGCAATTTAAATATAGCATAGCATATCTCATTTACCTATTTAAAATAAGGGTAAATGCACTTAATTTAAGGATTTTTTACTTATTTATAGATCGTTTTTCCGGTGTAAGAGCATAGTAAACTAATGGGGATCAGCAATCAATCACTGGAGAAAAATGGAAATCTAAATAAGTAATTTTTGCTCAAATTAAGTGAATTTTTTCTTGAATTGAGGAGGTAATTGAGACACTTTGCCAATGGAACAAGACAATTTACATTTAAAATAAGAAAGAAACAATTGCTTTGTCTTATTTCAAGTGCACATTATCTAATTATCTTATTTTAAGAGTAAAAATACTAATTCCATTGGCAAATCATCTTATTTACCTGCTCAAATTAAGGCTAAATACACTTAATTTAAATTTTTTTTAACTTATTTCTAGATGTTTTTTGCAGTGATCAAACCTTCACTGGAAAAACGATCTAGAAATAGTCAAAAATGTCTTAAATTAAGTGTATTTTTCCTTAATT